GCGAGCATTGCAGAGAAGCCCACTCAGACTCACAATGGTTTGCCATGGTATTTTGTTCTTCTGGAAAGTTAGTCCTGAGCCCTTCTCCCTCAGCGTTGTATTGAAGATTACAATTCTGGAAGACCTGAGACCAGTCACCCCATGGGCCACATCCATAGTTATTGAATGTCTTCAACAAGTCTTAAGGTCCTGGCCATGACCTTCACATCCTAAAAAGCCACGGTCCGTGTGGGAACAATCTGGGAGTGTGAATTTGATCAAGTTACTGTCACCTGGCTTCTGTCCCAGCACTAACAAACAGAAGCTCTCATCAGCCACAAGACGCAATGAAGCAGGCTGTGGGGCACCTTGGAGCACAGGTTCTTCTGAGACGGAAGACTTTTAACTTGGTTTTTAGATTATGGCTTCTACGTAGATTTCATCTGCCTTAGGTTTCTATAAGTACCTGACAATGTGGGCCTGATCCTTTCCCACATTGACTGTCCTCCAGGGGAAGAAAGGAAGATCCCAAAGTGTGTGTGTGGTGGTGGTGGTGGTGGGTTGACTTCTCAATAGCTATGGATCCATTTCACCATCAGGAAGAAGTCAAAGCAGAATGAACTGAAGGTCTATGGCCACACGGTAATGGCTGAGATTTGTGGCGGTGGGTAAGACAGTGGAGCGGACACCCTGCTGGGAGTTTGCAGTTACACTGTAGAGCGGGCACTGTCCTCCCTCATTCGCTTAAGTAGAATCAAAGGCAATAACCTGTCTAAATTTTCTTTAAGACTGAAACCAGATCCCACCTGGGATCTGCTGTTCTCAAAGCCTACGACTTTCTGCACTAGGCTGCCACAAAGTGGGACCTTATACACAGAGACACAAAACAACAGAAGGGCATTGGAGTCCATCTGCCACTAAACCTGGGTCAGTTACTCCACCTCCCCGAGTCTCAGGCAGAGGACAGTGACGCTCACCCTGTCCGACCTCAGGGTGGTTGTGAAGAGCAGAAGTACGCCCTAGGTTGCCCTGGTGGAGGTGAAGTTTGGGGATACTGTTGAGAACAGCAATGCTCCTAGGATCTTTCAAGAAACCAGCTGTAAGGCAAAGCCCTGTTCATTCCCACAGAACTGCCAGAGAACAAAACGCCTACTCGAAGATCATCCTAATTAGTGGTGAAGTCACTTGTTCTGTGCATTTTGTGGGATCCACATAAAAGGAAGACTAGGGAAGCTAAGTCCACAAAGGAGAGAGCTGGGGGACTAGCTCAGGTCTGTTCTCAGACTGCTTTTCCAGGGCCGAGGAGGATTTCCTTCTATCTAGGCTGAGGTGGAGAGCGTGGAGAGGACACTCACCACAGCAGGCAGCAGGAGTCTTGAGTGTAGTGATGGTCTTACTTCAGGTTAATGCTTGTCAGGATGAAGAGCATCTCAGCACGTCATCCTCTTGTCAGGTCTGATAATATACTAGTGATAGAACAAGATGCTAAGAGATGCTCACTGGTTCCCAAAGAAGGAATACTGGACACAAGGATGGTGTGCTGACCACACCTGAACTGCAATCCTGGGATTTAAAAATCGTGTGGGTTCCTGCTTTCTTCAACCTAACTGGGGACATGAGGATAAGTATACTTATCTTTGCAAAGCACATCACCCAGGCTTCCAAAATACAAGTAATTGGAAATTCAGGAGGCCTGCAGTGATGTACTTTACTAGGATTTAAGTAATTTTAATTTAAAGTAATTTCAATTTAAGTAACTTTAATTAAAAAATTATTTCTGAGTGTGGGTACTGCAGCACACGTGCCAGTCAGAGACATTTGGGAGTTGGAACTCCTTTTCTGTGAGTTCCATGGGTTGCCTTTCTCCCCCCGATCATCTTCCCAAGCCCAGCAGCAAACATCTTCGCACACTGAATTAGAAAGCTGGCTTTTCTGGGCTGTGGTAATTAATGTTCTCTGTATGACTCTTGATGTTAGGGATACTGGATTTGCTGCAGAGGAGGCAGGATGGTTTGCTACATGGGGTGGGATGGGGAGTGGGTATAAATCTTTTAAGATTTATTTATTTATTTATTATGTATACAACATTCTGCCTCGATGTATGCCCGCACGCCAGAGGAGGGCGCCAGATCTCAGTACAGATGGTTGTGAACCACCATGTGGTTGCTAGGAATTGAACTCACGACCTCTGGAAGAGCAGCCAGTGCTCTTAACCTCTGAGCCATCTCTCCAGCCCTAGAGGGGACTTATGAAATGCCAGGAATGTCTTGTCTGGTGTACGATGTGTGATACAGGGATTCACAGTGTGAAAGTTCACCAAGTTACCACACTATCACACTAAAGGTTTGACCACATGGGCAACTTTCTAGACATACTGCAACACCTCCAATACATTCTCCTTGAAATTAAAGTTTCTTTCCTTTTGAAAATTTTTTTTGTTTATCAAAACAGGGTTTCTCTATGTAACCCTCAATGGTTCTAGAACTTGCTCTGTAGACCAGGCTAGCCTCTAACTCAGAGGTCAGCCTGTCATTGCCTCTCAAGTGCTGTGATTAAAGGTGTGTACTACCACACCCAGCTTGAAAAGTTGTCTTAAACATTCAACTTTAAGCTTTGAAGGAGGACCACCGGTGCTTCTGAGAGGACGCGACTATAAATTGTCATGTGTTTGCAAAAAAACTTTAAAAATTATTTTGAGCATGGGTGGTCCCCCCTCACCCCATCCATGCACGTCTGCGACCACATGCAGGCGCAGTGCTCAAGCAGGTCAGGAGAGGGCATCTATCTAATCGGCTGCAACTCAAATTGCAGATGCTGTGAGCCATCATGTGGGTGCTGGAAAATGAACATGAGTCCTCTAGAAGAGCAGTCAGTGCTCTTATCCACTGAACCATGTAGTGCTATTTCATTTGTATTTTAATAAATAAAGCTTGCCTGAAGGTCAGAAAAGCAAAACAGCCAGCCACTGACTCTTACCTGTACCTCAGTCCGAAATGGCAATTTTTCCTCCGGGAATCCTCAGAATGAGACTGTCTCCTCCCATCTTATGTTTCAACACGTGGAGCTCCACAGAAGGCACCTTCTGGTTTGGGGAGCCATGGCCTGCCTAGCACGGTCACTCAGAGCTGTTCCCAGCCCCTCCAGAACTCAATGTGGCTTGTTTTGCTTTGTGGAAGTAAATGTAGCCATAGGCAAGGATATGCATTTTGAGGTTCTTCCCTTACTTCACTTCCCAAGCAAATCTGACGTGATCATCTATGTTGGTGACTCTAGACTTCCAGAGACCCCGCTGCATACCCACAACAGCCCTCTGTCTCCTACTAAAGTCCTGGGACTTCAGGCAGAAATAAAAACCCTAGGCTCTAGAGTGCTGGAGCTCACTCCCAGCTACTTAAGGGGGGCATGCGGAGGGAGACACACAGCTATGCAAGGACACCGAGTTCAGTTTGAAGGGCTAGTCTCCAGCACTTGCTCTGCAGTTTTGGGTTATGATGAGTGTCAAGGACACTGAGTTCAGTTTGAAGGGCTAGCCTCCAGCACTTGCTCTGCTGCTCTGGGTGATGATGAGCGTCAAGGAAAAAAACCAAATTGTTGATATGGAACAAGACCATTGCTATGTGAAACCTAACAGTTACTCAGTTTATAAAATGCTCTCGTCATCTGGAGATGAAACCCTTTTGGAGAAAAGCAGTGTGACAGGTGTATCACTTACTGTGACTCACTGGGCCCAGCAGGACCACGCATATTCAACCCAGGCAATCCTCAGACTCCTATAGACCACGTTCCCCGGGGCCTCCAGTCTTAGGGGTAGCTGGTCAGATGTTTGGGAGACTGATTAGGAGGACTGGATTTCTAGTAGCCCGCGTGTGCAAACAAATGCTGGAGGGCACAGAGCTGTGGTGAGTGACTGACTGGAAGACACTTCTTACTGCCCCACACATGAGTCATGAAGGCCCTTGCTGCCAGGAAGGGCATCAGTGCTCCCTGAGTGTGAGACGGGTGTTCAACCCTGAACTGGAAAAACGGTTTGGTCTAAATCACTTTGGCTATGCAATGCCACTTTTGTTGTTTTAAAATGGCTGCAAATAAAACCATTTCCTTATACTTACATTCTTACGCAACTTCCTTCAAGAAGTGCCTTTGTTGTTCTTTATTGTTCCTGTTTTATTGAGATGATATAGCCCCTTACATCAGTCTTGAATTTGAGAATGACCTTGGATCGCTGATTCTCCTGGGACCTCACACTTCATCCACCAGACCGGCCTACTACACTGTTTTGATGTCGCAATCAGCCTTGGAAGCCTTCAAAAGCAGACTGCCCTGTGGACCAGACACTTTAACTACCCACTAGCACAGGAAAGTAGGGCCTCAGTGAGGCACCAATGACAATAATCTACAAATGATCTTTCATTCACACAATGTCTCCACTGAGCAGCAGTCAACTGTTTGAAGATACCCATCATTTAAATCTGATTTAAATTTAAAAATTGAAAGAGAAGGTTCCCTTAGAAATGTTTTTATCAAAAAAAGAAACCAACTAGAAAGAGTGCTACTTAACCACCCAGCCCTAACTGCTGCAGAAGAGTGAATCTGTCTTTATTTATTTATTCATGTATTTTATATATGAGTGTTTTGTCTTCATACACACCAGGAGAGGGAATCAGATCCATTACAGATGGTTGTGAGTCACCTTGCGGTTGCTGAAAATTGAACCCAGGACTCTGGAAAAGTAGTCAAGTTCTCTGAACTACTGAACGATCTCTCCAGGCCCAGCCTGAGCCAATCTGTCTTGATAAAAGTTCACTAATAAATGCAGGCTAAGTGCTGCCATGGATAAGACTCTGTAGTTGTACTCACGGATGCCTTCTCACTTGAGCCCTCAGGAACATGAAGTATTTCATATTTCTTACACACACCAACACAGACCACACTCATACAAAGGTCACAACCATGAAGACTCAAGTTACCCACTTGCTTGCTGATGGTCCCCTTCTGATGAGAAGACAGTCATTTCAGGTAACTTCCATTTAATTTAGCATTTATTTTCATTTATAACGAGATGTCACATTTTCTACATTAAAATATAATCATGCTGACCCCCCCATCCCCTTAGAGAAAAACAGCTGGAAGATGGAATGCACAGAATGGGGAAGTTACTGCTGTACCTGAGAACACACAGCACAGAGACTCAACAGCAGACATGGCAGAGGCGCACAGACTAGAGCTAACGGCTCACACCAGAAAGGAGCAGGAATGAAAGAAAGGCAGAGCTAGGTCAGAGAGCCTGGGGATTGAACAGAGTTGAAAATAACAGCAAACCCAAGGGCAAGCCATCACCATCTTCACGCCCCACCCCAGGATTGAGGAGGCAACAGAGACCTGAACCACCATAAACACAGGGTGAGGATGGGATGTAGGGTTTCTCTGAACCGTACCCCAGCTTTTTCTAAGTCTCAATTCTATATGACTGTAGCCCAGTGGGAATCACCAGCACAAGACACGTCACCACTGCCAGGGTGGTACCAACTGTGCAATGTTGCATGATTCTGGGTGAGCCACAAAAAAAGATGCCACACAGGAATTCCAACTCACAGCACTGGCAGAAAGGAACTCGTCTCATAGGAAAGCACAAGCAGACAGTAAAACCCATCTGCAGAGCAGAGGACAGACCCACAGGCACACCAGCACTCCAGAGGGAAGGCTCAGTTAAGAGCCTCATGGTTTTTCTGAACGGAGAATTCTTCCAGTCTCCACCTTGTCCCTAAGTTTGAGATGGAAGCATCTTAACTTCAAAACAGTGATACTCTTAAGGGAGTTGAGAGGTAGGGTTTGGGAGACCCAAACAAGACATTATTAGCAACTAGCTCTCCACTATGTACAAATACATACATCAGAACAAACTTCATGCCACCCCTTTGCTCCTTTAAAGAACGCACTGAAGGTGAGGTTTTCTGGGCAGGGATCTTCCATTCTGATAGCAGTTTAAACCTCGCAACACTGGCACAATAGTTACCTAGCCTTTGTTTCTAATTACAGAGTAACAGGTAAGTAAACTCCCGCACAAGGTAGGGACGGAGGAGTGCAAAAGGAATCAGGAAACAGAACCAGTACTTCACAAGAGGGTCACGCCAATCACGCCACACGAGCAGCAGTAGCTAGTGCTTTGCAGAGTCTCGAGGGTAAAATTCGCTCAGGGTGCTCTGAGGGATTCTCTTCAGCATTTCTTTGGGGAAGATTCGGAGCAACTGCCAGCCAATGTCCAAAGTCTCATAGACAGTGCGGTTTTCATAGGGACCTAAAATATTGACACTGAATTAATGGCAAAGCACTTCCAATTGGCCAGCATTACTCAGTATTCTGTCTACGAACTAGCAATCAGGCAGGCATAAAATACAACAAAGAAAATATGAGTTGGACTCAAGACTGGATGTAGAAATGAGGATACAAAGTACCCCAGAGATGAGAGGTAAGGAGAGGCCCAAGGGCAGTGTGCATGCTGGTGTAAAGGGTTGAGTTGGACAGAGACAGACAAGTAAGATCCTTAAACAACAAATGCAATGACCCAACATTTTGTTCAAAGGTCAGCAAAAAGCAGACCAGGACACAGGAGAAAAGCTAGGTTTGCAGGAATCTACAGATACGAGAAAGTCTCAATGCCACAAAGCAAATATATTACAGGTCAGAGATTTTCAAAACTTTATTTTGAAACAGACTCTCATTGAGTGGCCCAGGTTAGCTTCAAACTCCACCTCTTAAGTGCTGAAATTATAAGCCAACCGAATTATTTTGTTTAATATAGTAGAATTAAATCCTGCCCCCCGCCCCCCCCCCCCAAAAAAAAAAATCTTCAACCACAAGATTAAGAGTGGCTGGAGTTCTGGGTTCCTTTCTCTATAGTACTTTACCATAGAACTTTTGTATTAGGAAGGAAGGAAGGAAGGAAGGAAGGAAGGAAGGAAGGAAGGAAAGAAAAGTTCCAATAAGACCAATGGTGTAGTTCAGTGGTTAAGCACTTGCTATCATATGTTGGCTCCACTTATAACCCTCAAACAATTATGCCATTGTGTGAGGTGATATCAAAAATAATGAATGCATAATGCAAGTAAGAGTGCACAAATCCTACATGTATCACTTGAGGTGTTATCTCAAAGTAGCATACCTATTTTAACTACCCCTCAAGGACAGAGTATTTCTAGCCTTAACCCACATGAGCCATGTAAGAAAACCCTTGTAGAAGAGAGACAACCAATAAAATGATCAATAGTTCCCTGAGCTGTGAGTGGTGGAAAGCTGGTACCAATATGGCCAAGGATGATGGGACAAGGCTTTGGAGGAGGGCCTGAAATCTCAGCCCCCGCTACAGACCTGCAGCTTCACTGTGTCCAGTCCCACACCTATCTACTGGGGCAAAACCAGCACTTTAAGAAGCTTGGCTGATACAAAAGCAAATCAAAGTTTGAGAGAACTACTGAACAAAATATTGTAGTGAGAATACAAAATAGATTAGGAAGAATACTACAAATAAACACTATCTGATCAGTACAGGATAAGCAAGGCTAAGAATGCTGCCCAGCCAAGTGGACTAGTGAGTGACAGAACACAGACACACAACCAGTGGGACATGTTGGGGTAACTCTATGGGGGAGTTGGAGGAGAACAGAGGTGGTGGATATGTATGATCTTAGTTCACCTCACACAGGAGATTCTCAAAAACAAAAACACAACATGCTGAGGCCCAGCAACTGAGGTAAACTGCTGGAAAAATGACCCCAGCAGACACCAAGAGCACACTGGCCAGAGTGTTGGCAGGCAGGAATGTGGTCAGCTGGGGAAAGTCTCATTCTGGTCACTGGGTCCTAGGCATTGGAACATGAAAAGACATGCTTATAGCAGGTGAGTTGTGGGAGCCTGAGAGAAGGCAGGGCCACAGACAGCAAACTAGAGCCCACAGTACAGTACCAGTCAAAGGTCAGGAAGAAAACAAACAAAACAGCAAAGAAGGTGGTTGGGCTTTGTGAGATAATAATTAGAAGTTCCCTGAGGACGTGCAGAAGGCAGAGGGAAGTCAGGCCTTAAGACCTGGAGGAGTGTCTCATTAGAGGGGAAATGCAGACACCAACGTGAGCACTTAGGTGTTTAACAATTCTGAACTGATTGTGTTTGAAGGGAGTCATCTTACCCTGAGAAATGAAGTTTTTCTCAAATTTCTGCAGAAATTCCAAGTAAAGAAGGTCATCTGAGGTCAGGGCTTCTTCTCCCACCACAGCTTTCATGGCTTGCACATCCTTACCAATAGCGTAGCATGCATACTGAAGAGAGAGAGGACATGTCAACAGTTCAGGATGCACAGAAAGCCCCCAGCAAAGTACGCTAGTATTTATTATATTACCCCCAGAAAGGGGCCAAAAGACTTGCAATGTACGGACATCATCCACACTGCAAATATATACTTCCTCAGTATGCCAATGAATTGACAGTGGATAGAGAATACACACGAACCAAAGAAATTTCTATAGGCCTTCTTCAAATTCCTGTGATTTCACAGGCCTGCCATTTCTACTGCAGAGTCAGATATTTTTCTTTCTTTTTGATGTACAACCTATATGGACCTTAAGGAGTTCATAGAATAAATTCAACTGTTAGCTTCAGTGTTCTGTTGGTTATTTACTTCACATATGTTAAGTACCAAATGTGAGGGTATCCAGGCAGAAATGACTGAACTGGAAGATTCAGTAGCAAGTGCCTGTACCCACTGAGCCTTGTTGCCACCTGTCCCCCCCCCCCCCCCCAATTTCTGTGGCCTAGAAAGATGGCCCAGCCCAGCCCAGATGGCTATTCTTGTAGAGGATCCAGGTTCGATTCCCAGCACCCAGACAGCAGCTAAGCAGTTTCTGTAACTCCAGGTCCAGGAAGATCCTAAACTTTCTTCTGGTCTTGGGCACTGCATGCATGTAGTAAACAGATATTCATGCAGGTAAAATACCAACACACATAAAAATAAATAAATAAAACAGATAAATAAATAGGGACAGAATATTCAATAAAATAAATTTAAAATTTTAGAAATGAGTTACAAGCTTGGTAATTTTCTTGTTGCTAGTACTGCTTTCTGAGATAGTGTCACTATGAAGTCCACGCTGACTTCCGATCTGTAATTCCTTAGCCTCCAGAATACTGGGAATACAGGTCTGACACCACAAGTTGCCCAAACCTAGTGGGTTGTTTGGTTTTATTTTTCAAGGATTTTATTTTATATGCATGAGTGTTTTACATGCATGTATTGATGCAAACCACATACAAGCCTGGTATCCTCAGAGGTCGGAAGAAGGTGTCACTTCCCTAAACCTGGAGTTACACATGTTTCTGAGCCATCATGTGGGTCCTCTTACAAGAACAACAAATACTCTTAACCATCAAGTTATCTCTCCAGCCCCCAAGTCTGGTATTTTAATCTTGATTAGTATAATTTATTCTTGTGAAAAGAGTTGCTTTGTTCCAATGAGGTATTATTCCGTATTAAACCAACATTGAAATTCTACTTGGATGGGAAGAAAAAATGAGTGCTAGAAGAGTTACGGGCAGGACAGCAGAAGACACAGAGAAAGGCAGTCTCAGCTCTCATCCCCAGAGAAGCACGTACCAGCTGGTTAGAGACGTCAGCATGGTCCTTTCTGGTCATTCCTTCTCCAATAGCTGATTTCATCAACCGGGAAAGCGAGGGCAGCACATTGATAGGTGGGTAAATCTTGGGTGGAAAAGAAAGAAAGAAAACAACTATACGCAAAAATCCCAACCTGACTGCACAGAGGCATTTTAAAGTCACAAGCAGCCCTCATATCACACAATCTAAAGGCACCTTTTCCTAGATGAGGGAAGAAACGGTGGTGAGAAACACTTGGGGCACAGTATTCCACAGAGAATCAGATCCAAGAAAGAGAAACATAAAGAGAGCACTTTTTTTTTTTAAATCTAGTTACTGCCTAGGATACCACGTATCTACCTAAACAATCTTCTGCATGAACTCAAAAATTATATAAGCAAAATAAAAACATTATAATAATTTCCCATAAGAGTTGATTTTGGAAATGTTACAAAGCCAGCAAAAATCCTGCTTTTATGTTAATAAGATTGATACCATATACTGCTGTTAGTATAGAATTCCCCGAAAAAAAAGTTCCTTGAGACAGCTGATCCCATTTAAAGGTACAATAAATAAAGACGGTAATTCTTAATTCTGGCATTTTGCCTACTACATGATTTTAGCTTACAGAAATGACATTTTTTTACAGCCACATTAAAACATCAAGCTGATACTTAAGAAGCAATCAAGTCAGCAGACTGTAACAAGTGGCTTCAAGCCCACAGCACTGTTCAAGTGTCAGTCAGTACCTGTCTGTTGTGCAGCTGTCTGTCCACATAGATCTGCCCCTCAGTAATATACCCAGTCAAGTCAGGGATGGGATGAGTGATATCTGCCGGAGAAAGACATCAGGATTAAGCACATGGCTATCTCATATGGCCAATCTCACAAGAAGAGAGTCTACATTACCTACACAGCTCTGCTGCAAGAGCTCCAGAGAATCCATCTCTGGGATGATGTTATTTGTGCTGTCTAACACAGCAGTGAGATGGTTAGCTTTAATTGTCAACAAATACAACAAGGGAAGAGAGTCTTGTTGGGTTGGTTTGTGAGCATATCTGTGGGGAATTATCTTAGCTAATTAACTGATATGAAGACAGCCCACCATGGTCGGAACCATTCCCTAGGCAGGGGGTCCCATACAGGGAAACAATGGAGGTACTGAGCACCCTTGTCCGTTTGAAGTTCCTGCCTTGGCCTTTCTACAACAATGGACTGCAACCTGGAATCATAAGCTGAAACATGGCCCTTCTCCTTTAAGGTGCTTTTTAATCACAGAATTTTGTTGTTGTGATTCTTTGAGACAGGGTTTCTCTGTGTAACAGCTCTGGCTGTCCTGGAACTCACTTTGTAGACCAGGTTAACCTTGAACTCACAGAGATCCACCTGCTTCTGCCTCCTGAGTGCTGGGATAAAAGACGTGCTCCATCACTGTCCGGTTTATCGTGGTGTTTTATCACAGCAAGATATGGAAGCAGAATGGAAAGGCATTTGCCACACATGGCTACTGAGTACCTGAATATGGCTAATAAAACTAAAGGGTTTACTCTCAAATTTCATTTTCATGAAGTTTAAACATCGGGCAAGGAGCCTAGCTGTTACTGTAGTAAATGGCTATTTCCCTTGTCCAGTTACAACGGTACCAACACGTGATGCACACTATGAAGTAAACACTTGCTCCTAGTTACGTGCCTTCTTCTGCAAACATAAAGTCCCATCCTAAGCACACAGCTCTAGGCCAATGTAGGACACAGGCATGGCAGTGGTGCTCAAGCAGCACCCAAAGATTCGACAAGCAGTAAGCATTTAACCCCTTGAGGGAAGATGCCCCCTTGTGTCCCAAGCAATGCAGCACAACAGCTGCTGTGGCTTACGAATCCAGACTGTGAGGGCAGAGTACCAGTTCCTAACCTAACAGTCCACTCCGCTCCTCTGTGCTCAACACAGACCAGAGACACTCTGAGGCATCCAACAGTGCTCACCAGGGTGAGTTAGTTCCCAAACTGCCTCATACAAGTAGCTATTAAAAACGAAATACGGACAAAAAACCACGGCGGCAGAGCCCCAGTCTAAGCACACCCAACCTTGCTGTACGGTAGCGTAGGCTTGCATAGGCCTGGGACAAGCAAGCTGCTTCTTGCCCAAACTGGGGTCAAACATCTCAAAAATCTGTACGTCTATGATTTCACTGCATGTTTAACTGCTGAAATGACTGTCTCACAGGAAATACAAGCAGCTTACATTAAACAGAGACAAATTCTTCATAACTAAAACAGTGCTCTGAAAACAGCAGACATTTGAAACAGAATATCATAAATGAAAATCTGAAATTCAAATTACAAAGAAAACTGCCTTTCTTACAGAAAGTAGTAAGGATAATTAGGGATGCTCTTCAAATGACAGTGTTGTTTAGTAGGAGCAAACTGACCTGGCCAAGCTGTCCTCTGACCTCCCCTGGCCCACAAATCTCTCTCACACACATGCACACACACAGATCAAAAGTGATATAGTCTGGTATAATCAAATATACAAACTTACCATCATTGGGCATGGTGAGAATAGGGATTTGAGTAATGGAGCCATTTCTACCCTCCACTCGACCAGCACGTTCATAGATCGTGGCTAAATCAGTGTACATGTAGCCTGGGAAACCTCGCCGACCAGGAACCTCTTCCCTGGCTGCTGAAACCTGACAGCAAATCAAGCATGGAGAAGACCATGTTACATCAGAGTAAGAAAAACGTTTGGCTAGAACGTCTGCGTGGGTCAGAGCTAGACCCTCTGCATCAATCTTTCTTATGCAACTCCTAACTGGGAGTTGGGGGGGGTGTCTCTGCCCTTTTCCTCCGACTAGGTTGCTTCATTCAGCCTTGATTAGAAGGTATGTGACCAGTCTTATTGTATCTTGTTAGGCCATGTTCGATGGATATCGGTCTGCCTTTTTTTTTTTTTTTAAAGAGAAACAAAAGAAAAGTTGATCTGGGTGAAGAGGGGAAGGACTGGGTGGCATAGAGGGAGTGGAAACTGCGGTCAGGAGGTAAAGTATGAGATTAGAATAAAAGTTAAAAAAATGTTGGCTTCAGTATTCAACAAAATATTAATTTAAGTGGTTATAAATAAAAAGGTAAATATTAAAAAGGAACACATACCAAGAATACATGGCTTACCACATGACTCACACATGAGTCAAACTTCACAACAACCAAACAAAAAAGTGTATCCCAAATTTACAGTCAGAATTGAGTCTCAGATAAGTTTCCCATGATCAAAAAAACCAGAGCCCAGCTTAGTGACGCAGGTCTAGAATTCCAACGGTCAAGGCAAATATCTCAGCTACAGTAAGTCACGGCTAGACTGGGCTATCTATGAACCTGACCAGAGTCAAGAGTCTCTCCTGTCTTCTTAGGGACACACATATGGGAATGTGGGTACCTGCATTACTCCACCATCACAAGCCCCTCAGAGCATTGCCAGTGTAGGCTCTTGCAATGCTCCTCAAAGTGTGACCCGCAGACCAGCAGTCAGCGATGCACGACACTGCCACGGGGATTTGGCAGGACACTTTAATGCTGCCAATCTATGTGAAGCAAATCTAGGTTTGTAAACTGCTTATCTTAAAAAAAAAATCTTTTCTCATAACTCTTTTTGTTGTCCTTAACAAAAGTATTGATCTCTTTCAATGAGGGAAGAAGGATCTAGTCTTTCCCAGACTCAACGTGAACATTGTGACAGTGTGCTGATTAATTTGGGGTATTTTAAAATCTAGGTTGTTTGAGAGCAGGTTTCTTTAGAAGTCTTTTTATGTAGTCAAATTTCTGTAAGATGATAGTGTTATAACTGTTATTAAACAAACATTTGGTTTTCTGAAGAAGAAAATCCAAAGACAGTGTGACCAAACCACTTATTAAAATATTATAATCAAGGCCGGGCGCACACCTTTAATCCCAGCACTTGGGTGGCAAAGGCAGGTGGATCTCTGTGAGTTCAAGCCTGGTCTACAAGAGCTAGTGCCAGGACAGGCTCCAAAGTGAAAAAGAAGCCCTGTCTTGAAAGACAAAACAAAAAAACAAAAACAAAACAAAAAAAATATATAATCATTAAAAACAGAGATCTGAAGGGCAAGAGCTGAGGTCCTGGGTTCAGTTCCTAGCACCCACAGTGGGAAGCCCCCAGCATCTATAACTCCACTTCCAGGGGATCTGAAGCCCTCTTCTGGCCTCCATGAGCAAATACATATACTCAAGACAAGCCAACAGACAAAATTTTTTAAAACTGGGGAATCGTCACTAGCTTGTGGGGCTTTCTTACTTCTAGGACCCTTGGGATAGTAACAATGTGCTAGGCAGGCTATTAATTTTAATCTTACCTTCTAAGATTCCCAGGTTTACAGAAAGAAAAAAACTGTACTGTCTTTTCTAATAAAGATAATCTACAAATTATTTAGGAACAAGCTCAAAAACATGACTAAAGAAAAACAAAAACTTACAAAGGGTCAAGATAATCCTACGAATTGACTCATTTTGTTTAACTGAGGGGAAAAAAAATGAAGGAAGGAAAAGTTACCTCTCGAAGCGCTTCGGCGTAAGAGCTCATATCTGTCAGAATGACCAGGACATGCTTCTCACACTGGTAAGCCAGAAACTCAGCGGTGGTCAGAGCCAGGCGGGGAGTGATGATTCTCTCGATGCTGAAATGAAACAAGTCCCAGGTCACACTCAAAAGCCAGAACCAAAACAATTCTGGACACAACAGCAATTTCTCCTTTGAAAGTCCTATAAATCCGGGGGCGGGGGGGGGGAACACCCAATTATTACTTTGAAGATGCCTCTGTAGGCAATTACTCTGTGTACTCACTGAACAGTAAGTACCACAACGTTAAATCATTTTACAAATGCTTGTCATTTCTCAGAGCTATCGTTTCTCAAAACTGACAAGGGGTGGTGAGAAGAGGGGCAGGAAGAATCAGGTGACATATTTCCCGTGTAAGAAGAAAAGGTTATTTATTGATCATCTATGATGTCTGATGTCATTTAACAATCCAGTCAAGTATTACTGGTCACTTTATAAGCTTCAGTGTCTACGTTAACTCCGTCTTGACTGCAAAGCGAATCTAGAAGCAGACTGGAATTCAAATATAGGGTTTCATCAGTGAAGAGGATCTCACTGTGACGTTTACTTCCTTAATTCCTTTGATCCCCATCTTCTCAAACAGAAAGAAGTGACCATATTTACTTACGTTGGGTCATTAGCCAAGTTCAAAAAGAGGCAGACATTGTCCATTGAGCCATTTTCTTCAAAGTCAGATTTGAAGAACCGGGCTGTTTCCATGTTTACCTAAACATCAATGACTTCATTAGTGCTGGGAGGAGAAAATTCTCATCATCTAGTTTTGATGAAGGCCAAGCTATGAATCTAAATTGTTCTTTTAAAAATTCAAGCATCCATTTTTATTCCTTTTTAGAATGTAAATTGGAGTAAAGCACTTTAGGTACACAGAGTATTACTAATTTTCTGTCACATGTGAAATTTGATTCCTTCATCTTCCTAAAATGCCAAGTTGCACTGTCTCTACCTAGGAACAAAATCAACGACATATGTGTAGTTTATAATCTTATATTATTCCCAACAGAATATCATACTTACCCCCATAGCAGCAAACACAATGGCGAAATTTTCTTCACTGTAGTCCACTACATCTTTGGATTTCTTTACCAAACCAGCCTGGCGACAGATCTGAGCAGCAATCTTTTGAAGATGAAAAGAAACAAGCAGTGAACTACAATCATATCCTGACAGCAAAGCAACTTATCCTTAACTCTGTTATTTTTATAAAGATACAGAAGAAGTGAGAGAGCAGACATACAAGCCTGAATTGGGTGACTAGTTAATACCAACTATTTGCCAGGTACGCCAATGTATCTACAGATTTTCCCCGTGACATGACACAGCAAGTACCCTAGCTCTCACCTCATTGTGCGGCAATCCGGCAGCAGAAAAGATGGGAATTTTCTGTCCCCTAGCAATACTGTTCATGCCATCAATGGCAGAAATGCCCGTCTGAATCATCTCCTCTGGGTAGATCCGACACTGAGGGTTGATTGGCTGACCTGATGTATTCCAAAAAAGGGAAGGCATCAGAATGTCTACATATTACTTGTGGATAAAATGAAAAGACCCAAGCTGTGCTGTGGGACAACACTCTTGTACCCCGTACAGATTTGTCACCTGTACTGGTTTAATAAAATGCTGATTGGCCAGTAGCCAGGCAGGAAGTACAGACAGGGCGACCAGAACAGGAGAATTCTGGGAAGAAGAAAGGCTCAGTCAGTCTGCAGTCTTCACCAGACACAGAGGAAGCAAGATGAGAATGCCTTACTGATAAAAGGTACCAAGCCAGGTAGCTAACACAAAAAAGAATTATGGGTTAATTTAAGATGTAAGAGTTAGTTAATAAAAATCCTAAGCTAATAGGCCAACCAGTTTATAATTAATGCAAGCCTCTGTGTGTTTCTTTGGGACTGAATGGCTGCAGGACTAGGCGGGACAGAAATCTCTGTTAACAAACTATACAATGAATTTCTCTGTACTTAAAATTATTTACTTGATATGATACCATAACAATTATTCTTTCTCTAGCAAGGCTCCCAATGGTCAAAAGTTGTTTTCCCCAGCACTGAAATCCATCTACTGCCCCTACCCATGATGTCAAGGAAGTCTTCAGCCAGCACCACAGGACCTCGGTCAATGGGTTTTCCTGATCCATTGAATACCCGACCTACGCAACAGCAAAAAGAGAAAAGAGAGTAGATCCTGACTTCCAAATCCATATTTTATGTTTCCAGATATTATATAAATGTGTTTAAAAGGAAACAGATCTGTGTACAGAATGAAGAGTGATGTCCACTTACCAAGCATATCCTCTGACACTGGTGTCCGGAGAATATCCCCAGTAAACTCACAGGATGTCTTCTTGGCATCTATACCTGATGTCCCTTCAAATACCTATGAAGAAAAAGAATCAACCAGAAAGGAAACAGAATTTAGGTCAGGGACACTTAGTAGGCCCAGGATCTTGCTTGTGAGCTACGGGTGTGAATTATGCATAAAAGTGATGGTTGAAAGAAAGAACAATGAAAAAGAAAGAAAATTTGAGGGTTTTTGGTCATCTTATAATATCTAAAGAAAACTTAAGATCTGACCACTTTTAGAAATTTCACCTACCCTGGCTGTAGGCTGTTTTTTAGGAAACACGTTAAGAAACCTCTCTTTTCTTGTAATAATATTAAGAACTAGGAAATGTAAGGAAAAAATTCCAAAGAACTGAGGTAGGTATCATTTTGATAGCATCCAATTATCAGTGAATGTGGCTTTTCATCACCATGTAGTTATGGAACATGATGTGTTTTTGATTAGGAAATGGTGGGTGCTCACCTGAACCACTGCTTTGGAGCCACTAACTTCTAGAACTTGCCCACTTCTTTTTGTGCCATCCGGTAACGTCAAGTGGACAATCTCAGCATATCTGGGAAACTAAGCAGGAAACAGTGAAGGATTAAGAATCAGCATTCTATACGTTACCCAAGACACTCTATGCTTCTCTACCTCACCTTGTCTGTGCACTTTCCCACCTTCCAACAAACACACAGGGAGTGGAATCTGGGTCCCTACAACTTATATTTACTGGCACACAAAGTGGCACACTAGTACAAGCTACAGAGAGGAGGGCATTATCTTGCAAAAACACAGCAATTACATTTATTAATTTTCCTCTGGGTGTATATCTTAAGGCTTTGAGACTCCAGAAAGATTACCAATAACAATGTCTCTTCCACTCAAAGTGATGTTCATTTTCTGGGCTATGTATACCTGTACTCACCTAGGCCTCACATGAGAGGAAAAAGAGAAAATGTTACTATGTAATGTTACCATCAGACTAAGATAATGTGCAAAGTATAAACTCAATCTAGTCCAAACATATATATCATTCTATGTAAGAATGTATATCTCTGAAAGATTCCCTCCTACTCCACATACCCATCCAGCCTTATACTGCTCATTTTTGAGATGGGATATAATATAAGCTGAGCTGCCCCGAACTCACTATATGTATTATTGAAGATGAGCTCAAACTCCCAAGCCTACTGTCTGTACCTCCTTAGGGCTGTACATGTAACTGGCAAATTGCACCATTTTCTGCCCAATTATTTTGCAAAGGTACCAGATTAACTCACAGTTTCCTTATTAGCACACAAAAAAGAAAAAACCAAACCAAACCAATATGCTTCTCCCTCTAATTTTGCCAATCTTCTACCTTCTTACTCATTTGTGGTTTTATAAAATGTGGATATTAATCCTCTTATAAACAATGTCTTAATTCTGCTTATGGTATTTTCTATCTCACAAAAGTATGTATTGTTATTCTTTTATATTTTATTTAGGAAAACCTTCAATCTGATAGTCATAAAGGGGGGTTCAGTGCTGTCCTCTGATAGGCTTCTAATAGGCTGATGTCTCACTTAAGTCCACCTGGATTTAATTTTCTATTTATTTTCCATTTTTATTTGGGAAATGAATGCTTTAACAACATTTGACTAGCATAAATGTTTCTCACAATGCCCAATTCACCATGCCAAAAAGTCGTATGTGCCAGATACAATCCCAGAACTCAGAGGACTGAGACAGAAGGAATGCAGTTCCAGGCCAGAGTTGGCTAAGTAATGAGAATGTGTCTTGGCAGCGGTGGTGCACACCTTTAATCTCAGCACTCTCCCAGGAGGCAGAGGCAGGTATGTGGGTCTCTAGTTCAAGGCCAGACTGGTCTACAGAGTGAGTTACAGGACAGCCAGGGCTACACAGAAACCCTGCCTGGGTGTGGGGGAGGTGTATGAGTCTGTCTCACGAAAGGCAAGACAACCAAAAATCATACGTGTGCAGTTGTTTGAGTCCCATATCCTTATGACATGGACAGGTTTATCCCTTTTCTAATTACCCATGTTTCCTCACCCTTTCTCTGACCGTTCTAGCTGGTCAGAAACAATTCTTTTACAAATCTGACTCTACTCACCCAGTCAAAGTTAAGTGGAATCACTGAAAACAAATAAAATTTCTGGGTATTTGGAGTCTTGCAGGCCTTTCTGTGAGTCTCACGGTGTTCTCTATACAAGTTATGTCTAGCACAGTGGCTACATTGGTTTCCATAAACTGACTCTTCATTACTGTGTCTAATAAATAGTACTGACTTAAGCTTTTATGTAATCTCATGGGGAACAATGACAGCTGCTATTATTCCCATCCTTTCCCCTCTTGCTCTTTTCCCACTGCTTGCTAAGGTCAAACACAAGGATGGCAGCAATGGTGACGAGCATTCTCATCTTACTCCCGGTCATTTTTAACTTTAGGTCAGGTCTTGGCCAGAGCTCCTAAAAACCCTGTAATTTCCTAGGTATCAGGAACAATCGAGAGGAAAGGAATTCACTGCAAGTCCTTCAACCACACTTGTGCCTGCACTTCAGGAGACCATGGATGGTGTCCACTGTCCAAGGGAACCACGCGCCCAATTATAGAGCTAGATGTTTCAAACACCCATCCTCTGATGTCTGAGACTGACATGGTCAATACAGCCAGGAATGTGATCAACAGTAGTAACATAAAGAATTCTCCATAGAAGTACCGAGAGCTGGGAGTTCTACTGATGGAAAGAGAATGCAGCCACAAGCAGACACACACGGCCCTCAGCTCCTCGGGGCAGAGGCTCTGTACTCAGGAATCTATATATTCACTCATCTGGCTATTCATTTATACTTTTTAGTAACTTTTAAAGTAAGTCAGTAAACTAACTGCTCCTGCTTTGGATGCGCAATTCTAGCAGATTATGGAAAATGAATAGAGACCCTCTGATTTACAGCCAAGCCTGATAGTAGCTGTGTCTACCTAGATACCCATGCTGTACGAATGAAGTGGGTACCCCACATGTATGAAAGCAAGTTAGTGGGGTAAGAAATGAGTCGAATTCCTGGTCTGTGGAAAACCTGAACTCAGTTATTGTGAAGCTGTACATCTGGTGTTAGAAGTACTGAGGGCAGAAGCCAGAAGGAAACAGAGCAGCTTTCACTAATTGAAAACACAGTGTTACTAGGGCAGTGGTTCTCAATCTTCCTAATGCTGCAACCCTTTAATAGAGTTCCTCAAGGTGTGGTGACCCCAACCATAAAATGGTTTCACTGCTACCTCATAATTGTACTTTTGCTACTGTTATAAATCGTAGTACAAATATCCGAATTTACGAGAGTTGGAGCCAGGAGGATGGGTGGGGCTTGAGGTTTCCAGTCCAGCTGAGAAAACTCTTTACAAGATTTCCAACTGGGAAAGACCCAGCATCAAAGAACGAGGCAGAGAGTGACAGAGGACACCTGATGCCTCCTCCTGGGACAGAGGGACGTGGACTAGGTTTACTCTCAAGATTACTCTGTAAGACTCCTTTGTCATAAAAAATATTATTGTGATGAAGTTAAAGGAAATATGCACTTTTTCTTTAAAAAATGTTTCTTGATTTATTTTCTGCTTCCAGAGGGTGACATGCTAAAAACATACATGATCATCACTGATATCTGTCAACAAAATAATAACTGTGTGCTTCTCCCAGCCTTGTTGCAACAGCCACCAACAGAAACTCTGGAAAGCACACGATATAAACTTTCTCTGACACGTTTCCTTTTGTTTTTCTAAAATAGCTTTTGTTTGTAATATTGTATTTTTTTCTGACGATACTCTGATTGTAAGAATCTCATGGAATGAGAAACTAGATTCCACTACTCCTTTCCTAAAGTTAGCAGTAAGTTCATAACAGACACAGAACATGTAAACCAATGATCCCTATGACCAAGGCAGGACAAACTATTCCGTTGAAGGTTTTCTGCCACCACTGAGATACTCTGTTCTTGTATGTTCATTACTTGCAAGTCCACATCAGGTTCTCAAAAGTAAATTACACTTAGTTATTCAAGTGTTTAACATTTAGTACAGAGGGAAATACTACTTTAAAAAGCCTAACACGTCAGGTTTTAACAAAGGATACAAAACGCCACACCTCTGTATAATATCCTTCAGGTTATAAAACACACTCTTTATTTCTGTTTTCCCCCTATAAATCTATATAAAGTTAAACTCTCTCCTCTGCCTTTGAAGACAAGGGACTTGAGGCTGTGAAATGGAATCCACACTAAACCTAGTACTGGAACCCAGTCTTCTGACGTTCGGTCTCTTTCCTACAGAGAATACTTACAGTCACGCCGAAAAATGCTTTACAATTGAGAACACACATTTAAAGAGTAGTAGTGAAATGTGAAGTACAACAGTCAGACCACAATGGACGTCCGTACCTTCACGTGATCTAAGATTACTAGTGGACCATTCACTCCTGAGACAGTCTTGTAGGCTGGAAAGAAAGAGTTGTGTTTAGTGACACAGCACAAGCGGACATGGCGCTCTGGTTTTAACCCCCCACCCATCTACCTATTAGAACACACAAAAAGCTTCACAAATTTTTCAATGAGTTTTAAAATACAGCTGCTCCTGTACAACTTTTCAATGCCCATCTTCAAAAACATTTGCCTCTTGCTCCATGTAAGCCACTGTTCTCAGAGCCCAGGGTACTAAGGAAACACTGAGGCTGCTGCCCTTGAAAAGTTCCCTTTTCACGTGGGGTGTGTCAATGTGACAGCAGAGGCAGAGGCACTTAGCTAAACAGACAAGGAACCCCTAACAACTTTAAAAAGTTGTGACAAGCCGGGCAGTGGTGGTACACGCTTCAATCCCAGCACTCGGGAGGCAGAGGCAGGCAAATCTCTGTGAGTTTGAGGCCAGCTAGTTCCAGGACAGGCACCAAAGCTACAGAGAAACCCTGTCTCAAAAAAAAGTAGTGACAAAACTCACGGAGAAAATCTGAGGAAACCGTGGAAGGTAAAGTCATACGGAATAATATGACTATGAACAACAGGGACTATGTGGAAAGACACCGTCAAGGAGGAGGCAGGCAATGGAAAACCAGCAGGGGTCAAGGAAGCTAAGTATTCTGGTCGCTTTTTAAAACAGGACGTCAGGGTGTAGCTCTGGCTGGCCTTGAACTTACAGAGATTTGTCTCTCCCTTCCCAGAGAGCTGGGATTAATGGTGTGTACCACCTCACCCAGTGAGATAGTACTCTTTACTTTGTTTTTGAGTCAGGGTCTCACTCTATGGCCCAGCCTGATCTTGAACTTGCCGCAACTGTCCCACTTCAGCTTCTTGGGTGCTGGGGATTTAATTTTTTTCTTTTAACCTTTATTTTTATGTGTATGGATGTTTGGCCTGCATGCATGTCTGTGTACCATGTATGTGCAGTGCCCATGGAGGTCAGAAGGGTGTGTTGGATCTCTTGGAACTGGAGCTAAGGTCAATGAGAGCTGCCATACGGTACTGGGAATCTTCTGGAAAAGCAACCAGTGCTCTTAACCACCGAGCTATCTCTCCAGCCCCTCCCCACCAATAAATAGGCTGATAGCTGTGCCAGCAGGGGTGGGAGAAGACAGAGTTAAGATGGCTCAGCAAGTAAAGGCACGTGCCATCAAGAATGACAACCTGAGTTCAAGCTACAGCAAAAAGAAATGTCCCAAAAGTTGTTCTCCTAATCCACACATATGCACTCGCCCAAACACTTCAAACACACATACAATAAATAAATGAACAAACAATAAACATAATAAATGAACAAACAATAAACATATGCACTCGCCCAAACATAAACACACATACAATAAATAAATGACAAACAAATATATATATATATATATATATATATACACACACACACACACACACACACACACACACACACACACACAATAAAAAAATACTTAAAAGCAGGGCACAGTGCCCCCCTCTAATAAACCAGGAAGGGTAGGACAGGTAAGTTCCAGGCAAAAAGGAACAAAAGAATCAAATATTACTATAAGGTTAAACGCAATGTACGCCCTAGAAAGAAACACCTAGTCTACTTTCATTCATTTTAATATATACTTTAAATATTTATTTTATTTGTATTTATTATGCATGGTTGTCCAAATTTTATGTATATTACAGGCCAGCAGGTGCCTGCTAAAACCAAAGTGCATTGATCTCCACAAGTGGAGTTCGAGGTGGTTGAGAAGTGCTTCATGTGAGCGGAAATGGATAGAGTCCAAAGTCCTCTGCAAAAGCAACAAATGATCAAAACTGACGGCTCCAGCCCCTCACTCATTCTAGAAAGGAGTTAGCTATTCTTGCTGGCAAAGTTCACATTGATTAGACCACAAAATAGTTAGAAAATAACAACTTTAGCAGACAACTTCAAAATTTGCTAAATCTCATAATTAGAAGAGCTAAAAAAATACATTTCTTAGGAAAATACATGATAAAGCCTAAAATAATTTATGTGAAACTATTAACTGGTCAGGAATGCTTCACTTGTCTGATTTGAGATCTTCCAATCAGCTTGGACAAAGATTCCTGGAACAAATACCATCTTCCCCAAAATGAGGAAACCACTTACTAACCAGTCTGTCCACTGCAGGGGCTTCCAATCCCTCTCACTCAAAGTCAGGAAATAAGTGTCTTGGTACAGACTAGGACAGAAAAGGCAAGCCCATTCCATACCGAGACAGTTAAACACAAGACGGCAAATACCTGTGTCACGGCAGTCTCAATAGCCCCAAACTGAAACGTCTTTACTATTGTGGATGAGGGCGTTAAGTCTCAATAGGGCCCCCAAACTGAGACGTCTTTTACTATCTTGGATGAGGGCGTTAAGTCTCAATAGGGCCCCCAAACTGAGACGTCTTTTACTATCTTGGATGAGGGCGTTAAGTCTCAATAGGGCCCCCAAACTGAGACATCTTTTACTATCTTGGATGAGGGCGTTAAGTCTCAATAGGGCCCCCAAACTGAGACGTCTTTTACTATCTTGGATGAGGGCGTTAAGTCTCAATAGGGCCCCCAAACTGAGACGTCTTTTACTATCTTGGATGAGGGCGTTAAGTCTCAATAGGGCCCCCAAACTGAGACGTCTTTTACTATCTTGGATGAGGGCGTTAAGTCTCAATAGGGCCCCCAAACTGAGACGTCTTTTACTATCTTGGATGAGGGCGTTAAGTCTCAATAGGGCCCCCAAACTGAGACGTCTTTTACTATCTTGGATGAGGGCGTTAAGTCTCAATAGGGCCCCCAAACTGAGACGTCTTTTACTATCTTGGATGAGGGCGTTAAGTCTCAATAGGGCCCCCAAACTGAGACGTCTTTTACTATCTTGGATGAGGGCGTTACGATTTGCTGCACTTCAGGCCAGTTTTAGGAAAACACTCTTACTGCTTTAAGGTAATCTATTTTAAAAAAAAAAACCAAACATGTAATTTCAACCTTTCAAAAAATTTGTTTTCATTTAAAAAACCCCAAATACTGTTCTTCAAAGACTTTCTAGAACTGTTGTGAGCTACAATGCTTCCTGAAACCCACTTTTAAAGATACAGAAGCTTGAACTTTCCCCAAACCTTCCCTAAGCCTTACAGCACAGGGAAGGGGATAATGGGATTGATAAGAAATTCTCAAAACACTTCATTAAAATCCCCCCAATTCTTAAAATTCTTCTACTTCAAAAAAAGACAGTACTTTCTTTGAATTTCGAGTATTGACAACTATGGCTAAGAATATCATGGTTAAAATTCAAACTCATTACACACGATGAAGTTTGCCAGTCACAAGCAAAACACATGACCAAGAAAAAGCATTAGTCACGGTTTTTCCAGGAAACAGCAGAGTTGAGTCCACTATAGAAGACAAGGCATAGAGGTCTTGAGTTCAATCCCCAGAACGACAAACAGGAAAAAAAATAAAAACTTAATTGAAAAAAAGAACTCTAAATTTGCAACAATGAATATATGACCTTTGAAAAGCCAATAAGCAAACACTACAAATTTACTGAATACCAACAGCTCCATTATTCCTGGCTTTCCAAGAGCAAAATCATTTTCAGAGAGGAGGAGCTAGCCCACGCACCTGAAGCCTGTCAACCCGAATGAAGCCTGTCTCTAGGCACTTGAGCCAAATCCTAAAACTCAACTAGCTGTGTCTGGAAGTCTTTGTAGAGCAGCACCCTCTATTTCTAAGAACTACACCCCGAGGCTGGGCACGGCAGCACATTCCAGTAATTTTAGCACTTTGATTGTGATTTCAGGGCCAGCCTAGGCTACGTGCTAGGAGTCCCTGCCTCAAACAAGAGTACCCACAATTTGAGCTATGAAAAGTGCAGGATATGTTACAGTTTGGTGGGCCAAGCAGTTCTCCTGGTTTCTACATTCTATCACTGCTGCAAAGCTACCTACCCTTCTCCAGCTGCTGTTAGAACAGCAGCCCAGCTCGGTCTACGGTGGCTACTAAACCCATGATAAACCAAGCAAATGCAAGCTCTGCAAGCAGGGAATGAGAGATGCGACAGAGAAGCCAGTTTTCCCTCGCAGGCTCTCTAGTGTGGTACAGGTGAGACAGAGGCACACAACAGAGACTGAGCATGGACCCCATCACCTGAACTAAGTGGAAATACACCAAACCATGGAGAGCGAGGCACACTTTACCAAGCATTTTCAGATCATCTGATTTTGTCTTTACAAACACTAGAAGGTGAGCAAGGCCAGTGTAATCTCCCTACAAAATGGAGGACCTGAGGTTTGTCTTACTCAAAGTTTTGTGCTGCTTTCCTTTACAGCTGCTACTCTACGGTCCTGAAACTCTAACTGACTACAGTATAACTTAAAATAGAGAACACACAGTTCTAGCATTTATACTAGAGATTGGCACAAGAAGACAGTTTAAAGAAGAAGGTCAGCCCTTTCCATGACAATGAAGGTATTCAAAAAGAAAACTGTGCGGGGAAAACATCAGATACCACCTTTTAGTCCTCAATACATCCAGCCTTCACCAGAATAACCACTAGCAGTTGGATATCAGTTCTGAGTATGGCATCCAAGAGCATCACACAGCAGTCACTGACAAATTATTTCCCTTATGGCGACAGCAAATACATGGGTATACTATACAAAAACATTTACAGAGTAGCATTTAAAAGCCGTGACTTATTCGGAAGCTGAGGAAGACAGCTGCTACCAGGGATACAGGGTAAAAAAAACAGCTGGGTTTGGTGGTGAATGACTTTAAATTCACCAATTGGGAGGGAGAGGCAGGCAGATCTCTTTGAGTTCAAGGCCAGCATTGTCTTCACAGTGAATCTAGGATCTACAGTCCCTTTTCTTAAACAAACAAAACAAACAACTTGCTCAACAACCAACCCATTAAAAAAACAAAACTTCATGAACTACAAAGATTTTAAGGAACACACAGTCCGTCAGATGACCGGCTCTTCCTCTTGCAGGGAAAGAGGCTGTTCAACACCACTAACAGCCTCAAGGATTGTGACATATTTAAAGGAATAGCCATTGCACAATAAGCCCTAGCTCTCTAGGCACCACCAAAATTCAGAAAGCAATCCCTTCTATTGTGCAAGAGCAGAGAACTAACCTGAGCAATGGCCGCCTGAAAGAAGTCCTAGGGGAAACGCAAGCAGAGTTCCTTGTGCTTTTGCTGGGGCTCTGCTTTATGATACAAGACACTTAAGGTTAGCCGACGAGTCAAGAAAAGTGGAGCCAACCAATACGCTCAAATATTTTGCTTTAAAAGCATGTGTATAGTGATGTCAGAAAGTCAAATAATGTGTTCAAGAGTAGGTGCTAATTCCAAGCCTGAATATTTTACTTTCCATTTCTTTTTACCAGCCCAATAAACCTGAAGTTATTTTAAAACAGGATCTAATTTTCACAGGGGAACTGCAAATATTATTACTCCATTCCTCTGTCAAAGAGTATATATCAAATAACTATAATTATTTACCACTTTAGGTGGTACTCTGACACTTTAATAATAAAAATTTAAAAGTTAATATTTATCTGAAAGCATTTAAAACTGATTAAAATAAAAATGTGTCAAAAATAGTAAAAGACGATACTTAAATTCACTTAGTTGTTTGCTTAAGTACAGTATTTCAACTCCAGGAAAACTCCAACCATATTTAAAATCTACCCACTACACGACTAGGACAATGAACTGCAAGTTACAGAATTTACAGAGCACTTCGGAGGTCAGACACTGTGAGCGTGGGATACAAAGAGGGCAACTTACGGCCCTTTCAGCGACAGCTTCGTCAGAGCGGCCCTTTCAGCGACAGCTTCGTCAGCAGGATCCTGCTCTGGGCAAACTCTTCAACCACCAGCCAGGACATGCAGATGTTGGTGGGGAGACACTATTCCTATCTCTGAAGGGCTTAGCACATTAGCCAGAGTATTCTATGCTCTCAGATTGACACTAAGTGATTCATTACACACAAATGAGACTACTGTGGCCTTATAACATTTTTACTAGAAGACACACCAATGTCCATGGGTTCTGCCCAGTGCAAAGGATGAATACCAAATGCAATTCACAAGAATCTAATTCTTAGATATAAATCTGTCAATTTTTCTGTCAAATTGACAGATATAAATCTGTCAATGTTTCCTTCTGCTCCTATGAGCCCCTAACCGGCTAACTCCAACAATTATTCTAAAAAAAAAAAAAAAGCCTAAAAGGCACATCTCGGCAATCCAGTCAGTCTCCACTGTGTTTTCTCCCTTCTCCACACTGCAGTGTTATCACATGACCCACTGACAGCTCAGGACAGGATTAGTCAGACTGGAGGGCGACTTGCTAAAACCCTCCATCTGAAATTCTTCTTAACCAATGAGCCACCCACAGAGCCAGGCTGGCAATTAACCAGTGCTAATGCAGTCATATTACCTGGAAAACAACAGACACTTAATTTAAGAAGTCTCTTTCCAAAGCTCTCTCCCTGGCTTCAAGGGGGCCGTGAAGAGGTCTGGAGCTATACAACTGAAATCTGCAGCCAACAAGAGCCATTTTTCTTTGGGAACGACTGACCGTCTTGTCTGTTTAAACATCGCTTATTATGGTCTTTTATAATCACCACACGTAAGCCTATGCACATAACACCAGATATGGGGGAAAGCTTTTCGGTCTTACCAAGGAACCTTCCAGTCAACTGAATTTGGTTAGCTGGTGAGTAAAGGAAGAAACGGCACATGAGCAAGCAAGGATTAAGAAATCCCAATTTTTGGTTCCTCCTTTGCCAATAATTAGATGTCTGAAACCTGGCATGGCCTCTCCTTTCCAGAACCTTAGGTGTCTCGCTTGTAAAATGAGAGGGAGGAACTGCACGACTAGGGTACTTTTCAGTTCTAAGGTTCTCAGGTATCTAGGTGTCCTCCTGTGAGCGGTCCCTGCAGAATAAGCCAGCTCTCCCTCTAGCCTGCCCACGTCAGCGATGACACTACACCTCCTGCCAAGTCCACCTGCCCAGAGGTCCTCGGGGCAGGGGGGACGGGAGTGGGCGTTCTCCCAACTCACAGGCATTTAAATGAGGCCAGGAACAGACCACGATCCGAGGGACACGGAGTGGCCCTCAGAGACAGACAAGTGCCTAAGAATACTCCAGTCCGGGAAACCCGGGGAGGGTGGGGCAATCGCCAGGAGTCCACTAGCCCATGGGGCGATTCCAGTCAGTGCTCCCGCCGTCGGCCCATCTAAGTCACGGCAATGCCAACGCAAAGCTGGAGAGGTGCGTGCGAGCCGCGCGATGAGGGAAATGAACCCCATCCCCTCCCCGCTGGCTGAACAGGTGAGCACAAGCCAGGCAGCCCCGCTCCCTTTCCCGTACTCACTGAGACGAGGCTGGGAGAGGTAGTTCCGGCTCACTGCCAGCGCCTGCTCCCGAGCTCCGGCCATCGGTCCACCGGTGGGCACGGGCAGCTCGGGCGCGGCCCCGTTCACGATTCCCCGCATCGCTCGCAACGCCATCTTGTCTCCTCCGTCCCGACTGGCCCCGCAGCGACGCGACGCAGGCGCAGATATAGCAGGGAGGCCCGTGCGGCCGGCTCCGCCCATGCGCGCTGCGAAGCTGCGGCAGAGGCCCCGCCTTCTCGGCGGCGCCCCGCCCCCAGTCTCGTGACTCGAGCTCTGCGGGGGTGGTGCAGGGTGCGGGCGCGCGCAAGCAAGCGAGCGATAAGGGAGCTGACCAGAGTGCTGGGAGCGCGGCCCCGAGGCCTGGAGCGGGAAAAGAAGCCACGGGGGCCAGAAAGGCAAGATGTGCGCAAAGGAGAGAAGGCACACACCAAAAAGAAGAAAAGATTGAATGGAAAGCAGGGAAAGAGGAGTTAGGGAAATATGCCTAATAAAATACATGCAACTGATGTCTATTTTTTTTTTCTCCTTTTTTCGAGACAGGGTTTCTCTGTAGCTTTGGAGCCTGTCCTGAAACTAGCTCTGTAGACCAGGCTGGTCTCGAACTCACAGAGATCCACCTGCCTCTGCCTCCCGAGTGCTGGGATTAAAGGCATGCATCACCATCACCCGGCACTACTGATGTCTATTGTCAAACTATGAAAACCGCCTTAAAAAGCAGAAGATAGAAAATCTATCTAGCATGGAGTGCTTTGTGTTATAATTTATTTCAGTTTATCTTCCTATCGAATTCATCCTCTCGTGGATCTGTTCAGCAGACCTTGGCTTGCTTGCATATCCGTGTGGAAGACCTGAGGAACAGACTTGAAAACCAGCTGAGGAGGTGGAACTTACATAGGGTGTTCTAGTTTGTTTTCTGTGGCTGTGATAAAATTAGCTAGCAGGTGGTCTGGTGTGGTGGCTCATTCCTGTAACGGCATAAACGAATGCAGACAGATTGTAAAAATATATACAGTTTTAATAGACTTACACAACCACCGTTCCTGCAGAGACCAGGAAAGCAGAAGCAAGCACTGCCAGCATGCTCGCCAGATTTATAGGTAAACATTAGCCCGAGGAGAACACGCCCCCTAAGGGGCGGGACTTATCCCTACACATGCCTTTAATCCCAGCACTGAGGAGGCAGAGGCAGGAAGGTCTCTGCCAGTTCCAGGGTGTCGTGGTCTACTTAATGAGTTCTAGGAAAGTCAGAGTTACATAGTGAGAACATGGTTCAAAAAAGAAAAGAAAGAAAAAAAGAAAGAAAAGAAAAAAAAACTAGTTGGCTGAGGGAAAAGACAAACCTAGAAATCGATTGTGGTTCTGTTTACAATCTCAGAAAAGAAAATTGACAAGAACTTTGCTGTGATACGACAAGGCAAGAAAAAACTGTTAGCTTTCCACAGATCGTTGATAAATACACAAGAAGATATCTAGACTGGCCTGAGGTAAGATCTGTAATTTATCGTCAATTTGGGAGTATGGAGGAAAAAGAAAGAAGCCCAAGAATGTATATAGAATGGAAAGATTAGGGAATTGGACACTCAACTTCATGTTCAAGAAGCCAAAAGAAGAGAAAATGTGGCAACATCAAGACGGTTGCCAAAAAACATAAGAGGAAGCTAATAAGAGGAGGACCCAAAGAGTCCAATTCCTTTGGACATTAGAAGACCACTATGAAGGGGGGCATAGTGGTACACACCAGTAACCCCAGAGAATCAGCTCATTCTTGGCTATCTTCAGTTACACAGGGGTTTGAGGAAGACCTGTATTACATGAGATCCTGTCTCAACTATAAAGAGGAGCATGATCAAGAAAATTAATCTCTCTCCCCCCCCTTTTTAAACCTGGAAGAGGGGATTGAGAGCTGTATTTATATCATGGTGGTGTGCAGGTTCCAAACTCTGAAATGCTAGAAAATTCAAAAACTCTGAGTGCAAAAATGATGCCACAGATGGAATATTCCACATGGAACATTGCCTCATTCACAAACTTACTGTACTCCTAGAAAATTTCCTGTGTACTTCACATGTGAGGTACATACGGGACATAAATGAGTTTTAGCTCTAGTCTTAGAGCCTGTATGCGAGACATACCATTGTGTAAATGCAAATATTGCAAAATGAAAACAGACACGTGAGATCCATAGCTCTCCTGGCCGCAAGTATTTCAGCTGAGAGTTGGTCAGCTGGTGTTGCAAATGAAGTAGAAGTTCCTGGGGTCTACACTGAGTGCATCTCAGTTCCGTGCATAACAGTCCTTCAATCCTTCTCCATAAAACTGTTGGAAGTGTTTAAAAAAGGTCAAGAATGCAAACGGTAAGTTCTATATGTTTCTATTAAACTTTTTATTGTTTTGGAATTTCTTGTGTGCATGAAATTTTGATCAAATCCAGCCCCCCCCTTTTCTCTCCTCCAGTTCTTACCCCATCTTCTGCCTTTCTATCCCTCTCAAGATCATATGTGGTGTTTGTTTGTTTGTTTGTTTGTTTTGCCTACCGAGTACCCAGTATGTGCATGGGTGTAGGACCATCTACATTGGTGGTCTCGCAGGGACCAAATTTCTGAACAAAACTGACTCTCCTCTCCCCTTAGCAGCCATCCTCAGGAGATGCTTCCCCATCTGTGCTGGGATTTTGGTTAGCTTGATCTTATGTATCTTATGCATGCAAATCTATATATTTCTTAGTTGAGATGACTCATGTACTTTTATTGATTGATAAACCTTTATGCATTAATTACTATGTGTTAGAAAAGTGGCTTTCAACCTTCCTAATGCTGCAACCCATTTAAACAGTTCCTCATGTTGTGGTGACCCCAAACCTTAAAATTATTTTGTTGCTGTTTCATAACTGTAATTTTGCTAATGATACGAATGGTAATGTAAATATCTCATAAGCAACTATCTAATGTCATGACCCACAAGTTGAGAACCACTGTGTGAGGTTCTTTTCTAAAATCTAAATGACATGTCACTCTAATCAATTTGTTTTAAACAGCTATTTTCTTGTTTCTTTTATCGAAAGTACCTAAGGAATTAATTTGCAGCTAGCACTTAATATATTCTATCAGATGAATGAAATGTGCCAGGCCTTTGCTCTTCTACATGGAATGGTTTTAAGGTGCCTTTCTTTACTCCCAAGGAATACAAGAGTAGCTGGCCCAGTCATAGAGAATGTGGTCAGAGCATGAGACAGCAAGCCCAGCTTCAATGTTGGCTGTCTCTTTGAATACGCAATGTGGCCTTAGGACAGTTCTCAGTTTCTTCTGTCTCTCGCTTGCCACCTGTCAGTAGGGAATATTTTATGTTATGTGTATCTCTTAAGAAAATTCTAGTTAGTTTCTTTGGGACAGTTTCTTGTAGATCCAGCTGGCTTCAAACTTGCTGTGGCCTTGAACTTTGTATCCTCCTGTCTCCACCTCCCAAAACTGGTATCCCAACCCTGAACCTCTAGGTCTCGTTTTTTTAAGAATTTAAAATTAGGCTTGTAGCACTCAGCAACTCTGGAAGTAATATGAAATTGTATTTTATTGCAGTTTATTTATTGAGGAAGAAAAATAAGGAAGAGGACCTCATGTCAGTGATTTTATTTTTCCCATATAATGTGAATCTTTATTTGTTGGAAAATACTATTCGAGGAAAATATTATGTAAAATGGAATAAAGCAACATAGAATTATCAGTATAAACATTTCAGCATAAAGTGGAAGAAAAGATAAATTTTAAAAATTACTTCTTTATTGCTGGGTTAATTTCTCCTTCTCCTCCTTTCTTTCCCTCTCTCTCTCTCTCTCTCTCTCTCTCTCTCCCCCTCTTTCTCTCTCCCTCTCTCTCTTCCTGATCGTCAGAAACAGATTTCGGCTGGACATGACTTTGCTCTGAAAACCGAGATGTCTGATTCTATTCCATGTTTCTTTCGTTATCACTGTGTCAGGAATGTGTGGTGATAACGTGAGGAACAGCAGAGGGCCCCCTATTATCAGAACATTGGTGATGGAGAAAAAGTGGCGCAGCTGTTTAACAGAAATCTCAAAGGGTGGCTGGCTTCAGTCCCCTTGCTAGGTGGTGTTGCACTGAAGCCTGGTAGAGGAAGTGTAGGTCCTGGAAACTCAAATGCTGTTTGTCAAGGCTTTCTTCTCATGCCAGATCAAGATGGTCCTCTCACGTTCCTTAGTTTGACAATTGTTGAATGTCTGTTTGATGGAACATTGCAGATACTAATCCAGATAGAGTCCTATTATAAACATTGAGAAAAAGTCACAGTGCAGTATTGGTTAGAATCTAATATATAAAAAAATATATACAAGATATTGTGAATTACTGATATATGAATACACAAGTTCAAACCATATACCAAAGGATATGTTGACAGTGATTATTTCTGAATTATAAAATGTGATCCTCTTCTTCCTCCTCCTTCCCTTTCTGCCTTTTTAAAAACTTTTTTTTTATTTATTCTTCACGTCTTTCACATCATCTCTCCCAATCTTACCCATCTCCCTCCCCCCACCCACCCCTAAAACAAAACAAAGTTTAAGAGAAGAAGGGAGAGAAAAAAAGGAAGAAAGAGAGAATCTTGTAATCTCGTCATGGAAGCTGCAGTGTGGCACAGTGAGTCACACCGCAACCCCTTTACCCACGGATGTCTGCATGCACTTGTTCGTCATGAAGATTCATTGGTTTGCTTTGAGGCCCTGGTCTCTGCTATGCCATCAACTCTGGGCCCTCACCGGGACTCTTCCTGGACATCCCGTTGCTGTCCTGTGTCATGGAACTATTACAACCCTGGGTCCATGGGATCAACCACTCCACCCTCCACCCCCATGTTCCAGGAGATCACTAATGTCTGGATATTGGGGTGAGACAATGTATAACCCTGGTTCTGGGCCTGGGTAGTTGCAGGGTTGGTCAGCCCTCCAGCTCTCCCCCGTCTTCACCAGGGTGAGCTCTCCAGCATTGCCCTAACTAGTTCCCTCCCTGCAGCAATGCCATTTCTCAGCTCTCCCACCCTCAGTGTTGGTTCTCCCATGTACTTTCAGGGCCAGCTCTACTGTGTTGCCTAGGTGATGGGTAGGGGCTGCTCTCCTGAGGGCTGCTGCTGATGAGGGGCAGGAACAGCTCTCTTGTTC